GGTGCTGAGGTATATGATTTCATAAGCAGAAGGGCTTCCATAATTACGGGGCCACCCGAAGAAATCTCTGTAGGTGCACATGTTGTCTGTACTTTGTACGTAAGTGGAGTTGTGAAGTCCTTAGGACGGTGAAAGTAAAGAAATACAAATTATTTTGATTATTATTAAAAACAGGTCATATGGAAATGATTTAAAAATTTCCAGATTTCCAGATTGTATGTTATCCAGTCTAGTTTTTTGCCTTTCTCTTTTGTAGAATTCGCGTGGCTCACTTATATGTGTTTCTTTAATAAACCAGCTTCTTTCCTGGATAGGGTTCGGTGGTTTGGCAGACTTGGTTCTCCTCTGGGAGCGCTGTGGTGCCACAGCGCAGTTAGATTATAAGTGGCATTCTGTCAATGACACCTGAATACAGAATATTACACTACATAATCTTGAAATCCCTGCAGTAATGAACCTCCCAAACAATTTCCTCCTTGTTTTGCCAGACCTCATCCAGGAATTTTAACTGGCATTTAGAGCTGGTGTTGTAACCGCCCCAGAAATATCTATCAAGGGAGCAGTATTTTAAATAATGATTAATACATTTAAGTAGCAATGAAAGTAAATGATGCCGCACACTTTGAACTAGCGAGCGGTGCCCTTTTAATATTATAATGGAAACGTTGCAGGCTAAAAATTTTTTTATCTTGGCTGTTTGCTTTGAAAGAGGGCTCAAGGCAGTACTCAAAGACAGGAATAAATACGTTCTGTTGCAACCAATAAAATAGAAACACACCACTGTAAAAACTAGCTAAAAAGAGCAGCAAGCAATCGCATTAGCAAAGGCCTCGGTGCAGTGTTACACCATTCCCTTCATAAGGCACAGAGAGACCCATGTTAAAGGTATTTCCCATCACAACCCCAAGGCCAAAAGTGCAAGTTGATTTTGTGGATTAAATGCATGCAGGAAAAGCAGCGAACATAGTTCTGAGTAAATGTGAACCGAAGTTCTTTTTATTCTCTCTTCAGAGTGGGCAGTGCAGTGCGCATATTGATGAACCTCGTGCATACCTTTGCCTGTGTGTGTAAGTTTCCATTCTGTTGTCCCTTTCTCTTTGCAAATTTTTTTTACCTCCAATGTTGGAGAAGCTGAAATCACCAGTAAAATTACAACCAGAAAAAAGGCCGCCAATCACAACAGAAAAAAATGACCAAAGGGTGAAGCCGCCCCCACTGAGAAACCATTTCCACCAATTTAACGACCAAAGGGTGAAGCCGCCCCCCACTGAGAAACCATTTCCACCAATTTCCAGATTATTTCAAGCATCTGCTTCTGAAAGGAGAGGGACTTGGATTGTTTAGCACAGCTTTTACTGTTCCTTGTAGCTGGGAAATATGATGGGTTTGTTACAGGGGTCCCCAGCATTTTTGAGCATGTGGGCACATTTGGAATTCTGACACAGTGTGGACGGTGTGGCAACAAAATGGCCACCACAAAATGCCTGCTGCAGGAGGCGGAGCCAGCCATGAAATGATTGCCACAGCTTAACTTTAGTTACACAGTACAGATCTTTGTGCTGTGGTGGAAGCTGCTGCCAAAGCAACATTTTAAAAAGTGCGCAGCCAAACAAATCTCCAATAGCCAATCAGAAGCAGAAGCCCTACCTGGCCCTGCCTGCTTCCTAAAAATACTTGATGGGTGCCAGAAAAGGGGATCCCCGGGTTAGTATCTGTAATAATACAGTAGTTTTCAAATTGGCCTAAATCGGCAAGTTTAAGATTCTATTTGTTGTTGTTCAGTCGCACAGTCGAGTCCGACTCTTCGCGACCCCATGGACCAAGTCACGCCAGGCCCTCCTGTCTTCCGCTGTCCTCTGAAGTTCACTCAATTTCATGTTCGTTGCATCAATGACACTGTCTAACCATCTCATCCTTTGCCGCCCCCGTCTTCTTTGACCTTCAATCTTTCCCAGCATCAGGGTCTTCTCCTGTGAGGGCTCCCTTCTCATTGGGTGGCCAAAGTATTTGAGCTTCGGTTTCATTATCTGGCCTTCCAGGGAACAGTCAGGATTGATTTCTTTTAGGATTGACTGATTTGATCTTCTTGCAGTCCAAGGGACTCTCAAGAGTCTTCTCCAGCACCATAGTTCAAAAGAATCTATTCTTCGGCACTCGGCCTTCCTTATAGTCCAACTCTCGCAGCCATACATGACTACTGGGAATACCATTGCTTTGACCATGCGGACTTTTGTTGGCAGGGAGATGTCTCTACTTTTTATCATGCTGTTTAGGTTCGCCATCGCTTTCCTCCCAAGGAGCAGGCGTCTTTTAATTTCATGGCTGCTGTCACCGTCTGCGGTGATCTGGGATCCCAGGAACGTGAAGTCTGTCACTACTTCCACGACTTCCCCTTCTATTTGCCAAGGAGTGATGGAGCCGGTTGCCATGATCTTAGTTTTTTTGATGTTGAGCTTCAAGCCCACTTTTGCGCTCTCCTCTTTTACCGTGGGCAAGAGGCTCTTAAGGTCCTCTTCACTTTCTGCCATTAGAGATTCTATAGTAAGGATTATTTTTAAAGTTCCAAAACATGTGTTGTTATTTTTACATAGGTAACAGCTGAAGGAATAAATACTCTCGATTTTGAATTGCGTATGAATAGTCCGTTGATTTTCTTCATTTTTGTCTGGGGAAGAGGACATCAGGAATTTGGGGGTTTAAAATTTGATTTCCGTAATTACATGATTGAACCAGTTGGCTTTACCCTTTCATTGTTCACAAATAAGACAGCTATAAAAATTCAGTTTGACCCTATTCCCCACCCCCCGTATTTGCCTGAATTTTGAATGTTAAACTTCACTGAACTCTGTGATCAGAAAACTGGAAATCAGCAATTAGAGTGATTTATGGAACTTAAACTTTTGCTTTAAGTGAAGTATTTGTCCTGGATATAAAATACTTTTCATATTGATTGGGTTTTTTGTTCAAGAGTTTGGCATAGCGTAAGACGGTTTAGGGACACACAGGGATGGATGTTGTGGAAAACCTCATTGAGAATATCAAGAAAACCACACTAGAATGAATTGGATAGTGCAGAAAGTAGTGCATGTAGGCATAGACTTTTGATTTTTTTAAAAAATATTATCTTAAATTACCGCCTGCTTATTTTTGCAGCCGTGGCATAAGTGGTCTGCTCTGGCCAAATCGCCCCACTGTAGCTATGGGCCTGCACTGCCCAGCGCCTGGTCACCACGGGGACGGAATAGCCACTTGCCAACTGTCTGCCTTCCCCCAGCACTCCTTTAAAAACAGCGTGTCTGAGATGGTGGAGGTCTATGTGGTACAGAGAACCAATCCCAGCGTCCAAAGTTATAAAGTGTTTATTAAAAAGAAAATGTTTACAAGCATACTTTTATTAGACCACCAGGTTGAGCAAGGAATACAAAAGAAATGGGTAAAAGTGCAATTCCCCTGTCCCTTTCTCTATGCATGCCCTATCAGATGTTAAAATAGGACAGGCCCCTTAGGTAGTTACAAATCTCTACAAAGTCTCCATTACCTTGAAGCTCCCACCAGCTCTTTAGGCCAGCACATGGTCAAAAAAAGTGATGCCTTCCAAGAGGAGAGGTCTGCGTCCTCTCATGAACTCAGCATCTCAGGAAAAGAGGCCTCCTTCCTGTGGCAAGGAGTTTTTATCGTATCTGTTTCTCCACCCCCAGACCGGGTCGTGCCAGGTCAAAGAAATGTTTCCTAGGGCTTCTTCCTGTAGATTATTCCTAGACATGTTCTAGCCTTCCATTCCTCCAAAAATCTCTGTTCCCTGCTTGAAGGGGGGGGGGGAGTTTGGCCATCCCATTGTCTCTAGCTAGATGCATTAGCAATTCTTCAGAGGTAGCAGAGCTGAGCCTGGAAAACCATTGACGGACTTCCTCCTTCCCAGCTTGGTCTCTGCCCAGAGGGGAGGGAAAAACTGTTTGGTGTAGTGGTTAAGTGTGCGGATTCTAATCTGGGAGAACCGGATTTGATTCCCCACTCCTCCACTTGCACCTGCTGGATGACCTTGGGCAAGCCATAGTTCTGTCAGAGCTGTTCTTGAAAAAGAGCAGTTTCTGTCAGAGCTCTCTCAGCCCCACCTACCTCACAGGGTGGCTGTTGTGGGGAGGGGAAGGGAAAGGAGTTTGTCAGCCGCTCTGAGACTCTGAAGGGCGGGGTATAAATCCAATCTCCTCCTCCTTCTTAAAACGCAAAGTGGAGGCTTTGCTCATCTTAAACCTCCCATGGGGAAAAAGTGCATTACTTCACAGCGGCAACAGACTAAACATAGATACCCCTCTAGAGTTATACCAGATGTAAAATAGTCTCAGAAAATGAGCAAGTTGGCCCTTAGTTTGCAGCTTTGCTGACTGAAAATGACCAATTTTTAGAAAAAGACTCCTGATGACAAGAGGGCTGTGGGATCAGTGGTAGAGCCTCTGCTTGGCATGCAGAAGGTCCCAGATTCAACCCCTGGCATTTTCAGTTAAAAGATCTGGCAGCAGGTGATGGGAAAGACCTCCGCCTGAGACCCTGGAGAGCAACGGCCAGTCTGATTAGACAGTACTGACCTTGATGGGCCGAGCGTCTGATCCAGTATAAGAAAGTTTCATTTGTTCACGTGATAAATCAGTTGATGAATGTTACCGGTTAAAGCACGCAGGCTGTAAACAAAAAGATGTGCCACTCCGCAAATGACCAAAGATTTGTCAGACGTTAAGGGAGGTGTGGCTACCTCAGCATCTTATGCAGCCCAGTAGATCCAGTTGCTTCGCTTGGCTTTTGTGTCTAAACCTAACCAGTTCCTAACAAACGCAAGCGAGGCCATCTTCGCACGAAGTTAACCAGGCAGTATCTGGTTGACATTTGGGCAGGTGGATGAGCTCTGGTAGTTCTGCCAAACTCCTTGACGTCGCTCCCTTTCTGACCCCATTTTCTTTTCGTTTAGGAACCGTAACCCGAAATAGAGACGCGGAAGGTGGGCGAGCATGGACCATTACCACCACCTCGGCGATGACAGCTCCCTCCACTCTGAAATGCAGCTCCACGAGTTTTCGGGGAATCAGGCTTTGGACTGTAGTGATGCTTTCAGCCAAGAGCTGTGCCCGGATGTGAGAGAGATGATTTATTCAGGGCTGAGCAACCTGGACGTGGATCCCAGCCTTTCGGCCACGAATATGAACAGCGACTCTTTGGAAGACAACCTGGATACCTTGTCCTTGTATTCTGTGAAGGACAGCGATCCTGCGAAACTCCTCGATGAGTGTGAGACAGACTCGCAGCCGCTTCTGCACAGTGAGTCGCTTCTGGGATGTTTCCCTGTTCAAATGTGTCCTGAAAGTTCATTTGGCAAGAGTGTGGGAGAGTGTCTGTTGGGGTATTTAGTTAATATAGCACTAGTTTGCCCTGTCATAGAGGCACGCGATACTGAGTGCAGTAAATAAATCTCCCAAGAAGTATATTGCAGAAAAGGTAAACATGAGATAAGCATATGGAGCAGAGGTCCATCAGTGGCTATTAGCCACAAGGTATAGATAGGGACTCTGGGGCAAGTGATGCTCTGTCTTCTTGGTGCTTGGGGGGGTCAACAGTGGGAGGGCTTCTAATGTCCTGGCCCCACTGGTGGACCTCCTGATGGCACCTGGTATTTCTGGCCACTGTGTGATACAGAGTGTTGGGCTGGATGGGCCTTTGGCCTGATCCAACATTGGTGTCTCTTATGTTCTTATGAGCCGCTTTTGCACAGTGTGTCACTTCTGGGACGTTTTCCGTTCAACTGTATCCTAAAAGTATATTTGGCAAGAGTGTGTAAAAGTGTGTATTGGGATATTTGGTTAACATAGCAGAGCTTGCCCAATCATAGAAGAGTAATACTGAGTGCAGTAAATAAATCTCCCAAGAAGTATATTTCAAAAGAGGTAAACTTACATTTATTCAAGTAGAACAAATGTAGAGTCCAGTGGCACCTTTAAGACCTGGTCTAAGAGTCTGTCAAAGTAGATAAGATGCCACGTGTGTGCTGTGGCTTCTACAGCACCTCTGGGTCACATGAGTCGAATAAGCCAATCTCATCATTTGGAATGCAGTGATGCCATCGCTGCTCGATTAGCCATTCATATTTCATGCTGCATGGCGACAACGTTACACGCTCTGCACTCACAAGTTACTTTCAGGTTGCAGCTGCGACACCATGCTTGGTAACAGTGCATTCCATAAACAGTTGACATTTTGGAATAAGAAGCGGAAAAACAAATCCCCCAAGGATAAATAAACCAGTAGCACTTTTAGTAAGTGGCAAAAATTGAACCAAACTGCTGGAAACAATCTAGACGCAAGTCTAGCTGTTCAATGGCTTATTCCACCAACAAGATCAGGGTGTCGAACTCATTTGTTATGAGGGCCGGTTCTGACAAATGAGACCTTCTTGGGCCAGGCCACGTGTGTCATAAAATGTAATGCCAGGTAGGCGGAGATATAAACTTTACAAAGGACACAAACACAAAGGTGGGGTTTTTTACTTACAATAAAAACATGCTTAAAACATGAGCATATTTTGTTTAACAGTGTCTGATAACTGACACCTCTTGCTGTGAATTATTGCATCAAAATGTGCTGAGCTACTGGCCTTAAAATCGTGAGCAAGCAGTTTGACATACTGCGTCTGTGTCTCGTTTGCCAGTTGTACGGCTGTGAATAGGAAAGCACTCCAGAGAGTTATCATCACAGCCCAGAAGATTATTGGCTGTCCTCTCCCATTCCTGGAGGAATTGTATAGCTCTCGATGTTTGAAAAAAAGCAAAGAACTTTTGCAGGATTTGTCACACCCTGAACACTCCCTGTTTGAACTGCTGCCTTCGGGTAGAAGATATAGGACAATTAAAACAAGGACAAACAGATTAAAAAACGGTTTTTATTCGAGAGCTATTATTGCTTTAAATGCTGTCTGAAATTGGAATTTGGGTGACATTGGTGGTTTAAGTTGCAATGTGAACCTTAAGGGAGTTATGGGATGGTTGTGAATGGTTGTGTGAGTGTATATGAGTATGGCTGTAGATCACTGAAATGATTGCACCTTTAATTTCATTGTACTATGTACAATGACAATAAAGTATATTATTATTATTATTATTATTATTATTATTATTA